GCTCAGGACATGGCACCAGGAAGGAGAGAGAGAGAGAGAGAGAGAGAGAGAGAGAGAGAGAGAGAGAGATTGAGATCCACAAAACAAGGACAAAATATAAGCCCCAAGGCACAACCTTAGTGACCTGTCTCCTCCAACCAAAACCTACCTGCCTTTAGTTACCACCCATTTAATTCACCCATTCAAGTGGACTGATGCACAGATCATGTTAAGACTTTCATAACTCAGTCATTTTACCTCTGAACTTTCTTGCATTGTCTCACACATGAGCTTTGCAGGGGTAGGGGGGACACCTTATATCTAAACCATAGCAAGGCAGTAACACTGGGTCATCCCGCTTGGTTTGGCAGGTAAATATTAGAAATTGTGGATATGTATCAAAAAAAAAAGAGAGAGGTGGTCAAAAACAGAAGGAAAATATAACCCCAGTACATTATGGCATAGCTAAGCTCTGCAGCCAACATCCCCAAAGAGGCCCTAAAAATGATTTCAAGGTTTATTTCTGGTAAATAAAATAAAATAAAATAAAATTTTATCCTTTGCTTTTACACCTTGAAACAGTTCAGGATTCCCATAAATTGTCTAGAAAATGGATTATGATTACAGTAGAGAAGGGGATGTGTCCAAATGGACTTGAATTTGAGCAAATGATCTGCATTTCACATTCAAGTCTTGGATCATCAGACCTTTTATGAATGAACCATCCAACTCAAGCATAAGTTACCCTCTTGGATCACCAGAAAGAACTATGGGCCTATATGAGTCATTATCACCCAAGAGTAGTCATGATATACTAGACAACATGAGAATGAAGAGTACGAACCAGGGGGCAGAATGTCATATGACACCTGTGGTTGAAGAAGCTATAGAAAGAAAGTTCTGGAAGAGCGGATAGATGAATCAGAAAAAGGAAATCATGTTTTCAATGCATCTTGAAAATTTAATGAGGAAATCAATCTTGTCTAATTTGATAATCACTTAAAAAAAAAAAAAACAATAACAAGGAAAGGGATGTTGCAGGTGAAGACAGCGGCCCCTAAGCAGGGTATAAAAGGGGATATAGGACCAACAAACTTCCAAACCTTCCAAACCCACCTCCTGGAAACACCCCCAGAACCTCCAGTCTCTGACACCATGTGCAACTCCTGTTGTGGCTCCTGCTGCTCTGGCCAGGGCTGTGG